CTCTGGTTCAGTGTTTCCTTTCTCAGTGACTGTCGACACCTTCTAACAGAGGAGCAGGAGAGAAACCTGGGAAGCTTCCTGGACACCTTCCTGCCACTCGTTCTGTCATGTCCGGGTGTGTCCCTAATATCATTCAACCTGTCTCCTCTGCATCACCACCACTGGTCCGAACCATATCATTTCTCGCTCGCACTGCTCTCCTCGCTGGGTGTTTGGCACCAACTCAACACACTGCCTTCAGATCCATTTTTTGTTTCGTTCTGCCCACCAATCCTTTATCTTGTTGTTCATCCTCACTTGAGCATATTTTTTCCATTGATTTTTAGAGAGAGAGGGAGGGAGGGAGGGAGAGGGGAGAGGGGAAGGGAGAGGGAGGGAGAGAGAGAAACATCAAAGTGCGATGACACCTCGATTGGCTGCCTCCTGCAGGTACCCTGGCCGGCCCAGGGATGGAACTTGCAACCCAGGTACCTGCCCTTGACTGGGAATCAAACCGGACCCTTAGGTGCTCCAACCACTTAGCAACACTGGCCAGGGCAACCCACTGATCCATTTTCAATACTGCAGCTAGAGAGCTCTGCACGAAACACACATCTGATCATGTCACATCCCAACCTCCTTCCCTGCCCACACCTTTCATTCCCTCCCCACAGTTACCTCCAGTCACAGTGGGCACATTCTCAGACTTTCACCTTCCTGCGCTCCCTTTCTTCACAGACATGAAGGCGGTTCTTCCTTCTGTAAGGCCTTTCCCTCCTATCTGGTCCCAGTCAAGCAATCTGGGGAGCCTACCTTCCAGGCTGGGTCAATTATGCTATTTGGTAGGCTTTCAAGAAGAAAAAAATCTCCAAGTGGTTTCTATAGTTGTCATTATTTATTTGTGTGTTTGATAAACTGATTAATGTCTTATGCTCCCCCTGCCCCCAATGGTTTGTACGTTTCCTAAGATCAAGGATAATTTCTGGGGTTTTTCCCCCACAATCCCACAGTCCTAGCTCAGCACTTAGAACGTAGTAACTGCTTGTTAATATCNAGCTCAGCACTTAGAATGTAGTAACTGCTTGTTAATATTGGTTGGATTATCATGTATACTTTGGTAAATGATGAGTTTATAAGTAATTATGATGAGGTTTTTGTACATTGCTGAAATATATGACTGATTTGGTTTAAATGATTGATTATGGATAGTATTATATTTCAGATTAACATTTCTATTCATGGAGTTATCCATTAAGTTACTTATTTCAAAAATATTTAGTTGCCAAAAAACACACCCAGTGATAAATGCTATAATACCTTCAATAAACCTACAGTTGCATAAGCAGGAAAAGGACTGCCCTATACCTATAAAAATATCTGTAAGAGGAGGCAATTTGTGATGAGTGCCTACAATATACAGACAGCACGCACAAGGAGTTTGGAGGAGAGAAGCAGCTTTCTTCTTGCCTGTTGGATCTAGGAAGACTCCGTAGGGAAAGTAGCATATGAACTGGACCCTGGAAAATGAGGAAGGCTCCATGGCAGCAGACAGAGGGATGCACCGTGCTTTCTCGGAGGGCAGGGGCAATTCATGGCTTCTAACATTTTTTATTTATGCTGCAAGGAGTGCTTTTTGAATGTAGTTTTAATGTCCAAACACTGCGATTCTACGACATTTGTTTAATTTAATGAGAATAAAGAAACAATATTTGGTATCAGAAAGGTGGTGCTAAGAAGAAAAGTAGAAAACCTGGGGAGGTAAAACAGTCCTTTCAGTTGTAAATGATTTTTTCTTACCTTGGCAAGTCATAGCTCACCTGCTTATTTCTGCAGCAGGTTGATGGACAGGGATAGGGTGTGAAGTAAATGGAATCCTGCTCCAAAGAACCTAGTCACAACCAGACAGAAGTCATAGCCCCTGGCTTCTGCGGGGCTGAGGGCCTGCCCTGCCCTGCCCTGCTCAGCACAGCTGCCTGAGGCTGGTGTAGGAGCCCCTGTTACCAGGGATTCAGCAGAAGGGTGCTCACCATGGCACCGCCCATTGAAGTCTGCCAGGGCAGGAGCAGGCTCCAAACCTTCCTTCAGATTAGAGTCAAGCGAGGATGTTTAAAATATATATATTTATGCCTGGCCCCCACACCCAGAGATTACAGGTCAGTTGGTCTGGGATGGGACCAAGAAATGAGTTTTGTAGTCAGTAAGCTATGAAAGCCCTGGGTTAGACCGAGAAGGGCTTTCACAGCACTGCTGGGAGATAAGCTGCACTTTATCCCCAGGGAAGCGCCAAGCAGACAGACAAGACTCAGTGAAGCAACAGAGGGAGCTGCCCACACCTCCTCTGTCACTGCCTTGTTTGTGTTTCCCAATTAGAATTTTGCAGTTTGTAATTAAATATTTATCTCTTTGTTTATTGTCTGCCGCTCCTATTGCACTGTTATCGACATGACAGCTGGGGTCTTGATGTTTAATTAAGCATTGGGCACCTAGTAACTAGCCCAGGGCCTTGCATATAAATGATACTCGATAAATATTTGTGACAATGAATAGACAAAGACAATTAATTACCTGGCAATAAACCAGAGAGGTAGCTTTGCACAACATCTTCAAAGGTACACAACTCAGGGAGGTAAAAACATTCCTTACAACTCCAGGCCCTGAGGTGAACAGCTGCAGATTTTATTTGTAACATGGATCTCCTGCCAGGGCAGGAAGGACTGGTCACACGTGGGTCTAAGCTAATCTGTCCCAAAACTGATTCAGGTGCACAACACCTGGATACCACGTTGCTTTTTAGTAAGTAAAGCAACTTATTCCTCTTTATGTCTAGGAAGGTAGTTTTCTAGCAAAAATAAATAGCTCCAGGTAATATGTATTTTTTCAATTAAAAAATTTTAATACATGAAATGTTTTTAATTCTCACTGAGGATGTGCTTCTATTGATTTTTAGAGAGAGGAAGGGAGAGAGAAAGAGAGAGAGAAACATCAATCGGTTGCTCCCTTACGCATCCAGACCAGGGATCAAACCCGAAACCTGGGCATGTGCCCTGACTGGGAATTGAACTGGTGAGCTTCTGGTGTATGGAATGAGGCTCTAACCAACTGAGCCACTCAGGCCAGGGCGATACATGAAATATTTAAAATCAAATTTAAAGGAAAGAAATTGCCCTTCAATATATATATTTTTTTAGTAGCTACTGCTGAAGAGCAAATCCAGAGAGTAACTCCCTCCTGGGAGCAGCTTGTTGGGAGACGGCCTTGCTCAGGATCAGAGGGGGCGCGGTCGACCTGCCCCGTAGGTGCTGCGGACATGGCCCCTGACCAGCCCTGCAGAGCTGTGAGGGCCCACAGCGGAGGGTGAGCCGGCCCAGCGCATTTGGGCCTTGTTTAGGTCTGAGGCCAGGTAACAGGCCTACCTCGAGCCAAAGGAAAGAAACAAAAACCCTGCGGCTTGGTTAGATAAACACTGACCTAGGTTCTCTGGGTGAAGCTAGAATTACGTTTCCCAACTTTAGGATTTTAACTGGGATGCTCTTTATTCTTTCTGCTGTTTAAACTTCCAGGCCTTGAACTTTAACTAGTTTCATGTAAATGAAATTATAAGTTATAAATACTACTATCATGACTAAATTTGATGCTTATTTTCATTTAAATGACTTGTGATTGTTAAAGGCACTTGGAAATCACCGGGCATCTTTGTTTTTGAAAAGCCAATTAGAAGTATTTTGTGTATGTGAAAAAAATACTGCCTGAACTATATGTGCCAAAGTACCTTTTTTAAAATTTCCACTTTGAAAATATATACAGGTAAAATTATGAAGAAATTTTAGAAATATGTAATATACCTCCCATTTTAAAATTAGATTCAACAGATAAAAAATTACTCAAATGACTATCAAAGTTTCTAAGGCTCCATTTATTTCCTTACCTTCCCTCCACGTAGCAGCAGCTGTTTGCAGCCCAGCTTCAGCCCATGGGCCACACTGGGAGCAGCACTGTGAAATAAAATGAAAGCACTCATGGAGAAATGATTGACTCTTTTTAATGAATATATATTTAATTCATGGCATTGCTTAGCTCTAAAAAAGAACCCTGTTTCCATATTTAACCTCTCATCTGGTGGCTCTTACATCTTACATACAGATTTAGCGCCACAGAATGCTCAGTGACTCATCACGCACAGAGATCCGGAGAACTTTATGTGGCCAATAAAAGATGTAACGCTCATGGCCGAGAGTGTTCTAAATTTTCTAATAGTTTTTTAGAAATTCCTTACTCATTTTTTCCCCTTTGAATTGACAGTTGAGCAGGACATCAAATATTCTTAAAGAAATAAAGGGTAAGGGCATTTTGGTGCAGGCGTACTTTACATCACTTGCAAAAATTCATCCCCCGTCTTTCGTCCAGTTTGCTGGTGCAGGAGGGTGGTGCTTGTCCCATTAAGGCTGACTCAGCTTTTCTAATTTGTGGCTCTATATAGCTCATGGCAAAAGGAAGGTTTGGAAATAGGCTGCTAAATTTCACACAGTCAAAGTATCAAGCCAAATCCTTTAAACTATTTTTNATATAGCTCATGGCAAAAGGAAGGTTTGGAAATAGGCTGCTAAATTTCACACAGTCAAAGTATCAAGCCAAATCCTTTAAACAAATATTTTTTAGAATGAGTAAAACTTAATAACTCTTGGAATTGAAAAATTGATCAAATTTTAATTTCCAATTTTCAACTGTTTAGACCCGTCCTAAACAAGAACTCAGGGACCACATTTGTACTGGTGACAAAGATTTCCGGGGAACACATCAAAGGCTCGAGTGCACATTGCCACTTAGGTAAGGTGACAATGCGCTTTCCTTTCTCCTGGTGTTTCTACCGAGTGCACGTGAGTGACAGGTGCAGTGGCATCTCATAAAGGTCACTGCATTTTCAGTCAGCAACAATCTCTCTGGAAGCACATAGAGTCTGTTATTGCTACTCATGGGTGAGTATGAAGTTTAGCATAGAGAATAAACATGCACACACACACACACACACACACACACACTCAGCTTCTGAAAAGCACAGCAGATACTACATGCGAGGCATTAAGCTCTCCAGATGCTTTCTTTCTTACTCTCTCAGCTCTCCCTGGGAGGCATCTGAGAAAGTCAAAGGTCAGATGAGGTTTTAAAATTTAACACCTTTGTATAATGCAAAAGATAATCTTGGCTACACCTTACCACATCCGTGTGTTTGACAATGATGACTGATTAATTTTTGACCTACAAGAATTTACCAAATGTGACTTACAACATTTAGGTGGATCGTGACCATAACATCTCACTTTTCTTGTACCCTGAAGATTGAATTTCTAAAAATTCCTGTTCTTAACACTGTTCCTCCTGAGCTCATGAAATACTTTTTCAAAATAAAAGTGACAGATATTTCTTTATGGTACTAACACTATCATGTGAAGCAGACTACAGAGGCGTGCATCATTCGCACTGATGTCATCTTAGGCTCTCTTTCTCTCCCTTCAGTCTCTGGTGGATCTCAGCACTCTTGCATTACCTGGATTTCTCTGTTCCCTGCTCCTTTCCACAGTTTAGACTCATTTGGTTAAGAGTAGAGACTGACTCTCTACTTCCATAGATCGGGAAGCTCACCTGAAATGTCCTGGTGCAGAGGTGAGTTTCCCCGTTTATCCAGCTGGTGACTCAGATGTGCACAATCACCACCCTTTACCTTTTTGTGCTCCTTTCCACCCAGGCCCTTTTCCACAAGACACTATGCTTTTTTTTTATGCAAGACCCATCCCCCTCAAAGGCTGTTCAGCAGTTTTCCTGGTCTGTCCCCCAGCATGTGTGGGCCATTACTCTCTAACAGGTTGACAGGCAGTTTCAGCTGTTGCTGCTTAAACAGACCCTCAGCCATAATTAGACCCCTAACATCCTTTTTACCCTAAAAACCTGCAGGTGGGTCATGAGCCCCAGACCCACACATCTAAAGTAACTCACATGTACGCATGTGTAAACGCTGTGCTAATATATTGTGTGAATATAGAATTTATTAGCCAAACCGGGACCCTTCTGTGGTAAAAGGGCCACTATTAATAATTACTCCGGGTCCACAGTGCAAACCAGAACCGGTCTGTGTGAACTAGGACATATGGCCAGCCTGTGAATCATGGCGTAAAAGCCACAACACTGTTCCCATAAAATTTATCTTCTTCATTGCGCAAAGGGAACTTTATAGCTTGCAAATCTCATTTCTTACAGTATTTAAATAATCCAATTAAGAGTGTATAGTATACATTAACGGCCCCAGAAGATTTCCCTGGACTGTTGTTAGACTTAAAACAGTGTTTCCTAGTGTGCACACGTCATCTGCAGTTTGCTAGTTTTATTCTTAGTTTGGCATTTTGTCATTTTCCTGTGCTATTCTGGACACTCACCCCTTATAATTACCATCTTATGTTTTCAAACATTTTGGCATCCACTTCACCTGGGTTAGTCCTTTGCAGAAATCTCTCAAAAAAGAAAAATAAATTGGAAGGAAGGAAGGAAGGAAGGAAGGAAGGAAGGAAGGAAGGAAGGAAGGAAGGAAGGAAGGAAGGAAGGAAGGAAGGAAGGAAGGAAGGAAGGAAGGAAGGAAGGAAGGAAGGAAGGAAGGAAGGAAGGAAGGAAGGAAGGAAGGAAGGAAGGAAGGAAGGAAGGAAGGAAGGAAGGAAGGAAGGAAGGAAGGAAGGAAGGAAGGAAGGAAGGAAGGAAGGAAGGAAGGAAGGAAGGAAGGAAGGAAGGAAGGAAGGAAGGAAGGAAGGAAGGAAGGAAGGAAGGAAGGAAGGAAGGAAGGAAGGAAGGAAGGAAGGAAGGAAGGAAGGAAGGAAGGAAGGAAGGAAGGAAGGAAGGAAGGAAGGAAGGAAGGAAGGAAGGAAGGAAGGAAGGAAGGAAGGGGAAAGATACCGTGTTTCACACAAACATCCACTGTGAGGAGCTCTCAGTGAAACGTAGACCATGATGAAATCAGAAATCCACCCTCTTAGCACTTGCCCGGCGTCAGTACATGTTACTGAGCAGGCCCTCACGCTGCGCGCTCGGTCCCTAGCTTAGCCATCCCCACAACTGCAGCTTTATCCCCTTGGACTGACACCTCTCCATTTCCCCCACGCCTCCAGCTCTGGCAGCCCCCAGGAAATCTCCCTGCTTCTGAGTTCTACTTTTTCTTTTACTCACATGTGAGTGATGTCATATACTATCTGTCTTTTTCTGTCTAATTTCACTTAGCATAATATCCTACATGTCACAAAAGATGGGGTTTTCTTCTTTGTCATGGCTGAAGGCTATTCCATTAAATAGAACTATAACTATAACTTTTCTTCCTTACGTTTCTAACATTTTTTATCCATTTATCTGCTGATGTATACTTCGTTTGTTTCCATATCACAATGGAAGTTTGCCCCGTACCACTGACTGGAAAGACAGGCGACCAAAGGACAAGGTCTACAAGACACAAAGAAAGACAGGGCGGTGCAGTGAATGAGGCCCCGGGATTTGTAAGACAGTCAAGGGCCCCCCACAGGCAAGGGGCCAGAGGTGAGCGCCAACCTCTTCCAACCACCTTGTTTTTGCTTGAGACATGCAATAAAATATCAATTTGTCTTCATTTCCTGTCTCCAGAGCAACTGAAACAAAGCAACTGGGGTAAGATCTAGCAAAATAGACAAGTTCCCTGTATGTAAATAACTGGTACAAGAAATTTTATGGGAGCAGTACTTGGTTTATCTCGTATCGTATGTCCGTAGGTTGAATTGCCATTGGGTGGAAGCATTACGGTTTGGGATGAGCTAAGAAACTGGATGTTCTGACAAAGCGGTCAAAAGAAAGGACTCACTAAAACACTCACTCATAGCGAAGGGAGGTATAGAAGGAGTTGCTTTACTTGATTGAACAATTTCCCCCAAGATAAATAATGTAGGTGGCCTTCTCTTCCCTGAGACACTGCAGTTGGTGTAGGATGTTATGATATGGGATATAAATGTGAGTGTGAAAGCAGTGAAACGAGTCAGAAAATTTAAAAATTACTATGAGAAAATGTTTCAGGTTTCTTACAAGTAATGAGGTAAGTGCTCTGCGATTTACCCCTTCAGAGGACTGCAGTCCAAAGGGGTTCAGATGGCGAAGCGACATAACTGGATAACTGGATTTATTTACTGGAACAGAGTAAATAAAGGTCCTGAAGTCAAATAAGCTCCTTTTCTTTTTCTTATTTTTTGGGATCAAAATAGATAGTTACATGATATGTTTCTCCCAGGGGAATCACAAGAGTGGTAAAGTGCAAATAACACACACTAGGCTGTTTCTCAATCTTTCGTGAGCATAACAGATGTAACCTAAGAGCTCCAGTCCCAGGAGCGCCATGCTGCTCTTCGCTAGTCCGAAAAAGCCACGTGGGGGACAAAGGAGAGAGATATGTCCTTTATTACTTACATCTGGGGACGGGTTGGGGAGTTTCCCCACTCGGGCAGGGGCCTATCTAGCGGGGGGAGGGGGGGGGAGCATACCTACAGCAGCCTTCCTGCAGGCCAAGGACTGACAGAGTCAGTGGGGCTGGTCAGCGGTCAAGGACTTGGGAAGTCACCCGGTATATGCGGCTCTGCTTGGGAAGTCACCCGGTATATGCGGCTCTGCTTGGGAAGTCACCCGGTATATGCGGCTCTGCTCCTCCTGGTGCTGGCCAGGCGGACGCCGTTCTGTGGCTGGGAGGGGGGATTGGCTTCTATCGTCCTGTGACCCCACAACAAATCACACTGGATTTTTTTTTTAAGAAATACAGATTCATAAGTCACTTATACAGGGGTTCTGGTTCTTGAAGCCTAGATGTGGCCATGGCTCCTGTGTCATTACCTTTTCCACCTTGGTGAATCTTTTTGAGTTTGTGTCCAGCTGACTGTGCCCCTCTGAACCAGGGATAGCTCCATGCAGGCTGTTGGCACCGCCCTCAAACGCAAAGCCTGGTGCCCTT